TGCCCACCTCAGCCTCCCAAAGTGCTGGGATTACAGGCATGAGCCACTGTACCTGGCCTCCCAACCAATTTAAATATATATATATAGTGGAAACAAGTCTCACTATATAGCCTAGGCTGGTCTCAATCTCCTGGCCTCAGTTGATTCTCCTGCCTCAGCTTCCTAAAGTGCTGGGATTGCAGATGTGAACCATTGCACCCAGCCTTCACTTTCTTTCTTGGTGAACAATTAGAGTCTTATTTTTTCACTTGGCTATTCTAAGGGTTCACCAATTTTTGTTCTTTTCAAAAATCCAATTTTTGGTTCCATTGATTTTCTCTGTTGTTTTTCTATTTCATTTATCTCCATCTAATCTTTATTATTTCCTTTCTTCTACTGGTGTTGGGTTTAGTTTGCTCTTATTTTTCTAGTTCCTTAGAGTATAAAATTAGGTTATTAATTTGAGATTCTTCTTCTTCTCCTTCTTTTTTTTTTTTTTTTGAGATGGAGTTTTGCTCTTGTTGCCCAGGCTGGAGTGCAGTGGCTCGATCTCTGCTCACCACCTCCTGGGTTCAAGCGATTCTCCTGCCTCAGCCACCCAGGTAGCTGGGATTACAGGCATGCCCCACCACACCTGACTAATTTTGTATTTTTAGTAGAGACGGGGTTTCTCCATGTTGGTCAGGCTGGTCTTGAACTCCCGACCTCAGGTGATTTGCCTACCTCGGCCTCTGAAAGTGCTGGGATTACAGGCGTGAGCCACTGCACCCAGCCAACAAAGCCCTTTTCTCATTCAAAACCCTTTCTTCCCAATCCTTACCTGAGTAGCCCACCTTGCAACATAATTCTCTTCATATCTTTCAGCATTAATCTAGCTCAACATGGTTGTAATTAACTTGTAAGTTTTATATTTTAAAAATGTCTTGAATATCATCTGTATTTCATCATGAAGACTCATGATGGAGAAATTCTATCTCTTGTCTTTTTATGTCCTGTATTTCTCTCCATACCCAAAGCAGCGCTCACATTTTAGAGCCCGACAAATCTGTTTGTGTTTCGACTCCACACTCACAAAGCTGAGTAGGTTATGTAAATTTCCTGAGTCTCTTCATCTGCAGAATGGGTTTGTTATGAAGATTAAGCAGATGATGTACCATTGGGTCCAAGATTCTGGAAGTGCTCTATAACAGTAGTAATTATCAGTGGATAATTTCTTTATTTGTAATATGAAGATATTACCTTTTGCTCTTAATGGATCTTATGGTAATGTAGTAAGAATTAAAAGAAGTAGTAAGTCAGTAGAAATTAAACTTCATAGTTTAATTGGAGCCCTTTAAAGATTAGCTGGAGAAGTTCAGGGCTTCAAGTGAGGTATTAGACTAACGAGGCTTTAGTCTGAATTTAACACATTTAACAAAAGCCTTTTGGTTACTTACTGAGCTCTGCACTGCCTAGGTCAAGCCTCATGTGGCTATGAAAGACAGAAGGCCACATTTATCCTGGAGATTTGTATCTGTATTGTGTGGGGAAAGGGATAGGGACATGAGCTATGCTCATACTTGTCCATGTTTCTCTTCTCTCTCAGGAGGGATTATTCAGAGTCAGCAATTTACATACAAAGTACTGCACATGGAAAGTATTACTGTTATTCCGTGGGGAAATAAGTTTCTATGTGCAGCAATCTGAAATTAATAACTTTCTTTGTGGAAACTCTCTCGACAACATCTCAAGATGAAGCCAAAGAGCACACTTTTTATGGTCTTGGATTATCTTCTCTGTCTGCTTGGCTTGTACCAGGCATGGATCTGTGAGCCAGAAATTCAGTTTTCCCCCTTCATTGTACAAGTTGCCTGCCAGCTGGAGGCCTAATATAGCAGTGACTCAATTTGTCAATTCTCCAATGTATCCACCCATCGAATCAAGGCAAATAATCTCAATTTACTTATTAGAGGCTTTGGGGAACTCAAGAAAAAAAGACCAAAATCTTTACCGTGACTACAGAACATTTTGGTTGAGGACATAGGAAAAGGAGATTGGAAGTTGGAGATCAATTTTCTTTTACTTTTAATGGGAAATATTTCAATGATAAGGTCTGTTATTTATATTATGATAAATATTTGTGTCCACATGCAGGGAGTGTATAGATATTGAGGGAGAAGGTAATTTAGGAAATAGGAGGGTGGCAACATCTTTTTCACAAAAGCCACAGCACTGCAGACATGCATAAAGACTGCAGTTGTTGATACAATAGTCATATGTGGCAGGCCGACAAATTTTTTTTTTTTTTTAAAGATTGCATCTCACTATGTTGCCCAGGTTGGTCTCAAACTCCTGGGTTCAAGTGATCCTCAAGTCCCAGCCTCTTAAAGTGCTGGGATTACAGATGTGAGCCATTGTACCCAGACGACAAATTCTTTTTTATTCTTTCTTACACGTCAATTTAGACAATCTGAACAAAGAAGTCTGGATTTCTACTTTCCACTGCTGAGATTTTTTTTTAATTTCAAATTAGATTTTTGCACCCTTTATACAAGACTACATGGCAGGACATTATGTTTGATTCACTGTACCTGATGACATTTAAAGGTTGTTTTTCTGGATCGAAGACAACAACTGAGGGACAGAGTAAGGAGTCTCTAAATAGACTTCAGAGCTTGGAATGTTGCTGGATTTGTTCACTCTCCCAGCATGTTAATATGGGAGACTAATACTTGGAAATAGTGACAGATATGGAGGAGTTTGGATACTGAGAGAGAACTCAAAGTGAAGATGGTAAACATCTAGAGTTTTTATTGATTATAATTTTCTCATATATGCAGAAACCTCACAGTGTGTTTGAAAACACAACCCTCTTTTAAAATACATAGTTAACTAAAGTTCAAAATTAGAAGCTAAGACAATAATCATATTAATACAACCTCTACGCTGCCAACTTGGAAAGACAATGAAGAAGAAATGGGAATTGCAACAAGCTTCAGAGATGGAAGATTTTTTTTCCTCTAAAGGGCATATGGGTAGAAGCAATTGCAGATGGCTGGGTGTGAAAGAAACAGACCTTGCAAGCCTGCTATATAGCTATACTGTGCTAAATGTGATTGGGAAGTAATAAGATTTAAAAGACAAATACTCTTGTCTTCACAGAGCTTATAATCTAGTTGTGCAAGACTGGTTAAGAAAGCTGGCTTAATGGAGTTGCATTCCAGCTTCACCCCTTAGTGTCATTGGGGGAGATATTTAACTTCTTTGCTCTGTGTCATTGGGTAAGATATTTAACTTCTTTGGGCTTAACTTCCTCATCTGTGAAACACCGATAATTGTATCTCCTATTTGGCAGCAACGCCAACCTCTTTCCTGTTCTTCCACAAGGCAATCTCTCTTTGGACCCACCTTTGCACCTGTTCCTGTGGCCGGGAAAGCTTGTAGCATGGCCAAACCCTTCAAGCGTTGACTTCCATGTCGCCTGCTCAGGGAGCTTTTTCAGAAAATACAGTTTCTGTATCCTCAGATGAAACTGTTAAAATACTAGTGGACTGTATAAACATGAGGGTGCTAGTATAGTCACCCACCCTAAGTAGGATTTGAGATCCAAGGAGTTCTCAAGGATTTAGGGTTAGCAAACTTTTCATGTAAAACGTCAGATAGCAAGTATTCTAGGGTTTACAGGCCATATTAAACAAATGGGTGCTGCTGTGTTCCAATAAAACTTTATTTATGGACACTGAAACTTGAATTTCATATACTTTTCACAGTCACGGTGACAGACCAAATTTGGCCCCCTCCCTGTTGCTGGCTGACCTCTGGTTTACGAGTACGGCAGATAAAAGAAGGGAGTGACTAAGAACCACGATTCTGCGTCCAGACACCAGGGATCAGGTCACTGCTGTGAAGATTGTCAACCTCTCTTGTTGCCAACACCTAGAGAATGGGGCTGTGGTCCCTGCGTCAGGGCGGTCGTGTTCAAAGCTGGGTAAGGGCACGTAGGTGAAGCTCAGTGCTTGGCACGAGCTGACATCAGCAGCGTCGCCCTGTCTTTGGGCTGGCCTGTTAGTAGTTAGTTTTCAGTGGAATCGAATACAACACTTGAGGCTCAGAGGCTCACGTCGTTGGAGCAATTACCCGGGCCGGGGCACGGCGGGGCAGCGGCGCAGGGCTAGGCCGGCCGGGCTGGGCGGTGCGAGTCGGGGGCGGGGCGGCGGCGCAGCGTCGCCGTCGTCGTCCCCGCCTCTTCCCGAGGGGCAGCGTCGGAGCCTCGGAGGCGGTGGAGCTTACGGCCTGAGGAGAGCGTCTCGCTCGGGAGCGGCGGCGGCCATCGAGACCCACCCAAAGGCGCGACCCCACCCCGGCCTCCCAGCGCTCCCAGGCCTCAGCGGCCGCGCCCCTTCAGCTAGCTCGCTCGCTCGCTCTCCTTCCCTGCTGCCCGCTGCGCCATGGCGTTGGCGTTGGCGGCGCTAGCGGCGGTCGAGCCGGCCTGCGGCAGCAGGTACCAGCAGGTAAGCGGCGCCCGACTCCCGCCCCCAACCCCCAGCCCCGGACTCCGGCCCCCGGCTCTGCCCTTTCCGCTGGCCGCCTCAGGCCTCTCTGGCCCGCCCGCGGCCAACTCGACGCCGGGGCTTGGCAGGCCGCGCTGGGCCTGGACGGGCGGGTCGGGCCCCGGGCTCGGATTCGCAGCCGCCGCGGGCCCGGGTGGGACTCGGGCATTGGAAAGCCTTCCTCTCGGCCTAGTTTCCCGCATTTCCCAGGGCGGGCGGGTCCCTGAGTCAGAACCTGCGACCCAAAGGCGGCATCGATCTGAGGCATTCGTTTTTCCACCTTTGGTTTGATGTCATTGGAAAAAAAGAAAAAAAAAGCATAAAACGGAAACTGGGTGGAGAGAAAAGATTAAAATCTCTGCTGCTGCCGATAGCTCCTCACAGCGAGATGCTATTGCTCAGGGTTTCGGAGCCTAGTTTGTCGAAACCCATCCCCCTCGCCTCCGTTTTAAGACAAAGTCAGAATATGAAGCGAGAGACAAGCCCGCAGTTTGCGGTAGATTTGGAAGAGGCGATGTTTGGCTGTGGTGATGCCCCAAAAGGGAGAGCTACGGTGAAGTCTGCAGGGCGTGTGCCGGGTGTATTTTAAATGCTTGGAAATGACGTTTTAAGAGATTTGATGGCATAGCTGGGGAGGAAATGTATAGGGAATAATTGGATCGTTTTCTCGGGTCTGATTTATAAATTGAGGCCCCAGGGAAAAGAGCTGCTTGTTTCACTCCCCGTCTGTAGCTTAGTTCCCCCAGGAAATTTAGAGACCTTCTGCATGGCTTTTAAAAGTCTTATTAATGTAACAAACGTTGTAATTGTGGTAATTGAGCCAGGTGGTAAGCTGATGTTGATTGGAACCGCAAATAACGGCTTGTGTTTGTCATGTTTCAAATGCTTTCGGTGCATACAGATGTCAACCCTGCTCTTATGAAATAAAATGCTCTCTCTTAGACTATCTACTATTTTATATTTTAGAAATAAGGAAAGCCAGTACGATTACAACGTAGATTAACCCTGGTGCAGCCGGGTTTGTTTTGCTATCATCAACCATGTGTTGCAATCCGCCCCCACTCAGGCTTGGACTCCCAAAATGACTAGATAAGAATCTCGCTTTTTGGTTTCATAAACATATCCCAAATTGTGGCAATGCAGTTAATCCTTAGGTCTCTTCAGAGCACATGGATCTAGCACATGCTTTTTTGTATGACCTTGGGCAGCCTGTGGGTTCCTTACTGCTTTAATAAGATGGGAATAACACATGTCACTTAACTGTCACCACAGTATTTGCAAACCACCCGTTTTTGCAAATCACCCCTACTGTATACTGAGATCTGATTTCATCCTTTTCATCCTGACTTGGATAAGGCTAACAAGCAAAAGAGCTGTGGTTTTTCTTTGTACTGCCATCTTCTTGAGCTATTAGGTAATGCTGATATACAGCTAGAATACAGAAAATTTGCGGGAGTATCAAAATCATGTATTCCTTAGTGTGGCATTTAATATTTTTAAATTATGCAGAATTGAAGTGTCAAAAAAACGAAAAAAATCTTCTGAGAAAAATTGTAAAAGATGAAAGCCAAAAAACTGCAAAACCCTCCCTAAACAAAAACCAAGTAAATCACCAAAGGTAATATTTTAGTGTACATTCTCGTGAGTTTATAGCTATGTAAATATACATAGTCCTAGATCAGTATACATGTGTATAGATAAGGAATGAAGGAACGCTAATATGGATTTTTTTATGCAACAGTCATAGTACTAAGTAATTTACATCCATTTTTTCATTTAATCCATACAAAACCCTTATGAACTAGGGTTTGTTCTCATTGTCAAAGACTCAGAGTGGCTCAGTAACTTGCTCAAGGTCACAAGCTGCTAAGTAGTGATTACAAGGATATACACACACTCACCTACTTAAAACACAGGCTCACAGTCCAAATATAGGTGTATGCCTTAGCAGTTATATACACATGGGTGTGTATTCTCTTATGTACCCATATATGCATATACAGACATATCTTGGTACATGCGTGTGTAGTTTCATGAGCCCCTGATCATGCTGGCACATACTTTTGCGCATGTCCCTGTGTATCTTGTTCTCAGGCGTGTGCATTCATACATTTGCATATGTATGTATTGTGCACATGTATATATAAAAGCACACTAGATAAATAATGCAATGGGTTCATATTTCTATTTTATAATGTGCTTTACACATGTTAATGTCTTCTATATAAAATATTTTTAATGTCTACGTGGCATATAATTGTATGGCTTAATTTAAGTAACCTATCTTTGGTCACTGTTTATAGTTTTTTTCATTCACTGAAATTTATTTTACACAGGTCTTCAACCGTTTCCTTAGTGTAAATTACTAGACATGGAAATGCCTGGTCAGAGAATATACATATTTAAAAGGCTATTGAATTATAGAATGATGGTGAATTGTCCAGGCAACTTGATAGGAGCATGATACTCTTTGGTTGTCACACAGGGTTGTTCGAACTTCTATTTGATCTAGCTAATCAAATTGAGCTAGTTTTCTCACTGAGTAAATGTAATGGAAAACTGTATGATTCATTCATAAATGCAAACACAGTTTTGTCTTTAAGGGCTTTTTTTTTTTTTTTTTTAGAAGGAGTTTCGCTCTT